CGCTGGTGTTTACATCCTCAGATGTTGATGAGTCAGTCCAGGCCCGGAAGCACTCCTGCTTATAGCGTGATGCAATTTGACAGGAGCGACCAAACCATGGTATGTGCATCCGATGGGCACCACAGAGGACGGAATAAAAGTTCCATACCCTGAAGTGCCACATCAGCGACAGAATCATGTCAGAGATATGAAGTATCAGTTGGAAATGACACCTAAGTCTCGGGTAAAAAGAGTAAGGCCGGCTTCCCCGTCTCCAGATGGTAGTGGACAGCGTTAAGGTTTTAATGAAGTTCCCTGATGATGAGGGTCGCCTTGGTGTTGTTGCTCCGCTTGCCCCGAGCAATTTTAGTCGCGAGCGGAATTGCTCCCCCCCCCCCCCCCCAGAATACGAGGGAAAGCCTGAGCACCCACGCTCCGGAAGAGTAGGAAAACTTCGTCGTGGATACTCAGGGAGGGATTCTCCGTCATAAGGGGTGCTGGTACCCTCCTGGGGTAGTTTGTTAATTGATTCCTCTACCACGTTAAGCGGCCACCTGCACTCACGATAGCAAAAGCTGCCGCGTGGCTCTAACACTGTTAAGAAATAAAGAGTTATAATAAAAATATTTAATATATTGATATAATTACGGATAGACATTATCTCCCACAACTTCAAGGTTGGTATAGCTGGTGCTAGTCCATTTAGGTATCCAAGATTTATAATTTCTACAAGCTGCAATCCAAGTCAAGAAATATGTAAAATAAAACCAATAATAGAAAAATTTACTGATTTTTTGTAATACTTTAAAATAAAATCTAAAAACCGGTTTGGCAGACAAACCAAAATGGTTAATTAACTTATCGATAGCTAAAGTTGTGACGTACATTACTATATTACTTTCATTTGCAATGATACTATAGTTAATTTTATAAAAATTGCACACTTTCGCTACGGGGTGTCGAGGTAAGTGTCGATTCGATTTATTTGGCCTTTATTTTGTATAATATTTCGACAAATACTGTTATCGATTATATTAAATTATAGAATATTCAGAATCGTGTTAAGAATGAGCTGAATATTTTAATCATCAAACTGAACTGCAACAAAATTTTTGTTTTTATTTTTGGTTTTGTGTAGTAAATTATATTTTATTAAAAAGTAGCTTATTTTTCACTTCATAAACTATTGGGTCCTTACATATGAAATTAGCGTTTTGTCGTACTGACCACTTTGATCTGAAAGATTTCCTCTTTGGTTAAGAATTCCAAATTCAAATTTATAAATTAACTAAGCTGGTACATTTGAGTTTTGAAAACAGTCATTAATTTGTTTTTTCTTCTTTATTTTTTTCTTTGGCATCGCTTATTACCGCACAATGAAAAACATGAAATATCGGTATATTTACGAGTACGAGTTCCGTGGCACCAGTGTTGCAGAAACAGCTCGAAGGATTAATGATGTGTACGGCGCTGATGTCGCAAAAGAAATCACTTACGTTTTTGGTTTCAACGTTTTCGTTCTGGAAATTTCGACCTTCAGAACCAACCCCTTGGACGGCCTAATTACGCGCACGGCCTTTAATTCTTCATTTTCCACTTTGGGAGACAAAAGTGGAAAATGAAGAATTAAAGGCTATTGTGGAAGCGGATCCATCACAAAGCACTTCAGAGATAGCTGCAGGCTTCGGAGTAAGTGATAAAACTGTATTAATGCACTTGAAGCAAATCGGGAAAGTAAAAAAACTTGAACGATGGGTAACTAATGAATTGAGTGAATCAAACTTGCAAACACGCGTCGGCTGCTGAGTTACTTTGCTCAACCGTCACAAAAATGAAGGGATTTTAAATCGAATCATTACTTGTGATGAAAAGTGGATACTGTACGATCGCAATGACTGAACCCTGGAGACCCAGCCAAATGCTACCCTAAACGAAAATTAACTCAGAAAAAGTTACTTGTGATTGTTTGGGGGACTAGCGTCGGTGTCGTTCTCTACAGCTTTTTAAAATCTGGCCAAACGATTACGGCAGATATCCATTGTCAGCAACTGCAAACCATGAAGGTAGAACTATCTGCTAAACAACCGAGATTGGTCAATCGCTCTAGGCCACTGCTGCTTCACGACAACGCAAGACCACATACTGCACAACAAAAAACCACTAAGTTATATGAGCTACAATTGGAATGTCTGCGACATCCACCGTATTCCCCGGATTTTGCTCCAATAGATTACCATTTTTTCCGGAATTTGAACAACTTCTTACAAGGAAAAAATTCGATGCGGCAGTCCAAACCGTCTTCAAAGAGTTTATTGATTCTTGCTCTCATTGTTTTTTTAGTAAAGGGATCAATGAACTACCTATGAGATGGCAAAAGTGCATAAATAAAAACGATATTTACTTTGATTAATTAAATATATTTTACAAAAAAAATTGACTTTATATTCCTCCCGTACAAAACGCTAATTTCGTATGTAAGGACCTATTATGATAACAACATTATAGACGAAAATATTCAGAAAATACTAGTTATAACGATAATGTTATGTAAAAATATTCACAGATGAACTCAAATCAAATCAAATAATTTATTTGTAAAACATAGGTAAAAAGTTACAAACTTGGTGGAAAAGGTGTGATAAGTAACACTATGTTTCGCCTAAAAAGGCATACAAATATTTGTTTATCATTATTACCTGGCAATATGAAAATTAATTTTTAATAAAATAACAATTTCAATTATCATTGCTATGTTTAGAAATTACATTAATTATTATCTTAATTATCAATTACATAATTCTTAATAACATAAAAAATAAAAATATAATAAATAAATCGGCCATAAATTATTATAGGTACTATATCTTCAAAATATTCGTTGATAGAGTAGTATGCTTTATTTATTTTAAAAAAAACCGAAAGCAATTTCTTAAATTTATCTATATTATCAGTTTCTTTGTTCTGTTTTTTTGGGAGTTTATTAAAAGTTTTAGGAGCCATACCCAGGAAACTTTTTGAATACATGGCTGTTTTATGAGGTTTTGTACGTAGTTTGTTCCTATGTCGTTTATTATTAGCGTTTTCAAATATGCTTAAATGTTTCCTTACAAACATAGCTACTTCGAATATATATATAAAGATAGTAGGGTCAGAATGTTAAGATCAATGAAATGCGGTTTGCAACTATCGGTAACCTGCAACTGACATACTGCTCGTAAACATTTATTTTGCGCTCTAAATACTAATTCGCGTTTTGGGGAGTTTTCCCCAAAATATTATACCATATCTCAATGTTGAAGCGACGTATGCATGGTGGTCATGACTGTTTCACGATTTGTAATTTTTATAAGGTTATAGTGCATAGTGGTATTGATTGTCCTTTTGTAGATTTGACGTTTTTGTTTTTTTGCATGAAAATACACTGCAGTTCGGAATTTCGGTCCGAGCCCGATTGACTGACACGATCACTTATTACTGCATTATTACTCTTACTCTACTCTATGCGATCACTCGTGGAATAGCGCACAAGGCGGAGCAACTACTTTAAAGTTGAACGCACATATGTCCGTACCGTACGCGCCACATTTTACAATTCCTTATATGGAATCATGAGAAACCTCACATGTTGCAGCCGCACCGTACGCGCCGCATTTTATAAAATGCGGTAGGTGCCCGAGTATTGAAAGAAGCATGCTGATGACGTCATTAATGCGGCGCGAGCTCAGTGTTGTTTGATGTTGTTAAACTTAGTGGATTTTCCACTAAAACTGGTGGTTTCAACTTTCATTTCGAAATTTTTTTTTACTTCATTTCAGGAGTATTTACTTTTACGATGTAGGCAACAATTAATCGTCAGAGAAGACTTTCTTTTAATTCATTCGTAATTAATTATACATAATTTGAAAAAAATAATCAAATTATGTACAATTAATTCTTTAGTCTTTCCTCTGGTTCAATTGGCCTTCTAAGGGTATGTTCCGGAATACAACCCAGTACAATGTCGAATGCGAATGACGTCATTAATTGACGCCGTATTCCACCATATTCGATACAACGAATCATCAATATGGCGTCGATTTATGACGTCATTTGCATTGGCCAGTGTACTGTGTTGTATTTCGGAACATACCCTTAATCTTGAGATTTCCATAGATAGATATGGTTTTAGTATATGTAGTAATTCTTGAAATTTCTTCTATGTTAAACGCTAATATCTGAAAAATTGAATATCATCATATAATAAGTTTAAAATAAAGTATAATATTCTCCATACAACTAATTGCCTTTTAAATTAATATTATGAATCCAGAATCTTCTTAGAATTTTATTTTTTTCTTCCTTTGCCAATAAGCAGGCTATAACAATTTTTCCATAGCGATCCTAGCGACCGACAGTATGTATACAGTGACATCGAGTCACTGTATCTTATCAAAAGTTCACAAGTGGTTGGAAAAAACTGCAAAGTTGATGGCAATACAAAAGAATTGCGTATGGCGAGTACGTGCAAATGTGAGAGGCCATCCGAAATTATGGCGCGTACGGTGCGGACAAATGTGCACACAGTTTTATATAACGGGTATGAGTCGGACTCTCGTACCTTTGACAGAGGGGAATACCTTGCGATTCTGCCTCCTTTGGTTTAATACTCAAAGAATCAAAGGGGACAAAATTAAACATTTGAGAAAAAGTAAAAGGTTGACATTGAATAAGCTGTGTTACATAGAGAAGAATTAAATTTTCAACTTCAGAAATTATTAAATCACAATTATGTAACACTCTTTTATTACTTGAAGTTGGCTTTAACTTGGTATTAAAAGTTTAATTTTGCCAATCACTTGTCGATGTTTGTAAATACATTTTCAAAAAAAAAAAACACAAATAAAAGGAATCTACTATTTTAATATGTATGCAAATTTCTTTTTACAATGTCACATAATTTAGTGCATTTAAAATTCCTCTGTTGCAATATAGTTAATAGTAAAAATTATTATTTACATTTTACTCTTCCGAGAACTCATTTGTCACATTTTATATTTATTGTTTTTTCTTGCAAACATTGGTGTAGAGAAGTTGTCAGGTGTTACGTTTGGGCTTGCAAATGGTGTTTTTGGGATATCTTGATTAACAGAAGTGGTTGAAATGTTTTTGATTGCATCTGGTAAGTCATCAGGCAAATTGGCGGGTTGCGAAGATGATGCGGCTAATCGCTTTTCTGATATTGCCTTTAATATATTTTTTCCTGCTTCTTTGGCCTGTAAAATAACACTGATCATTTCCTTATAACTAAATTGTCATTTGACTAAAACACAATAATAAAATATCAACACATTCCACAGAAGTTTGTAACCATATTCAACCGACTTCAAAAAAGGAGGAGGTTCTGAATTTGACTGTATTTTTTATAAGAGAAGTAAGGTTAGCGACAAAAACAGAATTTAAATCATTTGGTTAGTATTCAAAGGTTCTCTTTGTATTTAAAAAATCATGCGGCAAATCTTGTTTCGGAAATAATCTTGATAATATTTAGTAATTTAATCATAAATAGGCAGCTTACAATAATATGAGTTTGCCTTAATAGTCAATCGGCAAAATTACTACTTAATCAGCCAGAATCGCGGTTGGTTAGCAAAGAAAATATATCTATAAGCAATGTATATTATTATTATAATCAAAATTATGTATTAATTAAAATTATAACAATTCAAATTACATTGTTTCATTTACCACTATCACAGCAGAGTTTAGAGCAACCTCACTTTATAGATATGATTGGTCGAATCTGTTCTAAAACCGAATCAGCACGCCCCGACTGCGCGTAGACTAAGTGCAGTCGGGGCGTGCTGATTCAGTTTTTCTGCCCTACCCCTAGTGTTTTTGTAAAGGTGCGGAGGGAGAGCAGCCTGCGCCCGTCACCTCCGCGGCATTGGTTCTTCGGCCTTCAGCGACCAGACTCAGTCGTTACGGCCTGCACAGGTGCCTACAATTTACTACACAAGGGCGAAGGGGCTGCATTTCCCGCAGCGCCGAAGCTGTTGCAGAAGTAACTTCGGGTTAATATTTCCATGTAAAACGTGAGGTTACGATTTTATAAAATAATAATTACTCATAAACTATACGTTTCCTCAAGACGGAAGGGTAAGGGCGGGGGTTCTTCTGCACCCCACCCCCCTCCTCCATATTATTATGAAAATGTTATAAACATTAGTCACTCATTGCTTATATAATTAATTTGCTATACTAAAAAAATTACAGTCGTCCAAAATGTCAAAAATTGCCGATTGATTTAATAATTTTGCTAGCCATGGTTTGCTGAATTATTATCTATTTCTGCTGCTAGATTACATTTCTCTGCTAACAAAACATGAATACTATGCTAACCCTTTTTTAATGTGTTTTACCTCAGAACATTTTTTAGGTGACCAGATTTCGATGACCTTTTTCATTTCAAAGCAGGAACTTCAACTCTTCTTAGATCAAGATCTGACTAGTAGCTTTTGAGTTATCATTGATAATGCGCATTTTATTGACTTTGACTACATTTATGAAGTTCTCATTCACAGAAATCGTAATAATAAGACAATAGAAGTCGCATTGTCGCCGCTATGATGTGTTGACAAACATCATTCACCATTTTGTGATTTAATTGCGCGGGAAAAGTCGTACGTGAATTTTTTTATTATAATGGTGAACTGAAGCACAATCACAAGTAAAAACTTGTCAAGGACGTGTAATTCAACTAATAAAGGCATAACATTTAATCGGGAAGTTGATTATTTACTAATTATCATTGTTTTAACTAATATACATCTAGATTAATACTTTATTATGATATTTACCCTTGTAAACTTTCATTTATCACTTTTCGTATTGTACAATTACTATTGCTGCTTTTGTTCCACCGTAATACACGATATACGCGACGTTGACAAACTCGTCAAGCAATGTAATGTGATACATTAGATATCACTGTCCATTGCGTATGTTTATAGCACAGCTACAGGCATCGGTCGCCTAGTAAATATATGTTAAGATGTAGCGACATCGGTTTTGGAAGTAATCGAGCGCTAATTCATTTCTATTGTCTTTTTATTACTATTTCTGTGTTCTCATTTTATTTATATTGAAGCGGTTGTACAAAATTTTTAATTTTACCACTTGTTACAATCAGACTTAAAACATTATATTAGGAATAAGTATTGCTTACACTGTCATGTTCCAGGCACTTGTAGGCATAATGAGCAGCATGGTCCAATAAACTGAACCTTAAATAGTACTGTGCTAAGTATCGTTGCGCTGCTGGTAGCTCTTTACTTCCAGCATTTGCAGGGTCCTGACAAGCTGCAGTGTAAGCTGCAGCAGCACTATTTGGCATGTTGGACTTTTCATATAGTCTGGAATAAATTGAAGGTATAGAAATTTATTACTTTATTAATGTAAGTTGGTAACATCTCCAAATCGTTAGCCAAACATGGCAGCTATGGCAAATATATATAATGAGTCAATCTATGGGGGGGGGGGGGCTTTTATTCAGCAGTGGTCTTTTGAATGGCTATAATGATGTAACCGCAGTGCACCGAGCACTAAGCCAAATTCTCTCAGCCCATGCACAACAGTGGACTTGAACAACACTTGATATTTTTACTAACCATTGAAGTTAAAGTTGCAGCCTATATACATCCAACTGCTGGGTACAGGCCTCTCATCTCCTTCCTGCGAGGGTTTTAGGGCAAGAAAATGAGCTGTCCCAATGCATGTTGGTGAACATCACATGTCCTCCAAATATTTTTTTCTTTTTTCTCATACATGCAGTTTTTCTCACGATGTTCTTTACCGCCGAACGCGTGTAAATCAAGTCTTAAAATTGCAACTAACTAACTAATTGAAACCTCCACCATTATTATCATTGCATTAGGTATTATAAGTATTTCATCATATTATTTTCCCAGCCTCACCTGGGTTTTTAAGTAAATAAATTGAAGGTTAAAAATATTGAAACACTAATTTGTAAGTTAACACAATACACAAAAAAAATTAAATTACTTACTTCGCTAACTTAAAAAGTGCCATTCCTTCAATGTCGCCGGTACTATGAGCCTTATAATAACATTTGAGAGCATTTGGAATTTTATCCATTTTCTCATAGGCTTCTCCTAGTGACACCAACATTCTTGAATCATCTGGTTTAAGCTGTGCTGCTCTTGAATAGTAGTATATGCAATAGCCATTCAAACCAAGAATTTCATATGCTTGGCCAAGTCCATTCCATGCTCTGTAATCATTTCTGTTTACATCTAAAAATAAAATCAAACTTAATTATAACATGTATTTTACTTTAAACTTTTTATTACACTTATTTATTTTGACAAGGATGTATATTAAAAAGTATGCTGTGAAAGTAATTTCCTTATGCAGTAAAGTTCGTTATAATAACGCTTCTGTGTTATCAACAATATCAGTAGAACTACCAAGGATGGGTGCACAGATACACCAGCGATGTATTTGTATTCACCTCCACATTTGCATCCACAGGATGTAAAAAATATCTGCATCAGCAACATCGCTCAAACATACTAATATTACTTTTGTGTATTTATAATATAAGCATATTACCTATTGCTTGTCTATAGCACTGTATTGCAGCATTAGAGTTCTGTAATTCAATAAATTCATGTCCCATTAATATCCAAGCTGAAAGATATTGTGGATCTAGAGATAGAGCCCTTTGAAAATATACAACTGCTTTTTGATGCTCACTCCTAAGACTGTAATAATTACCTACAAAAATAATTTATTATATTTAATGATATTACTAAATAGGACTTATTTTTGACAAGTAATGGTTTGCACATGAATTCAGCATTTGTGCATGGATAACTTTGCTTACCAATAACACAACAAGTCTCCACTCTATATTTGTCAATAGATACAGCTTTTTGTGCAAGTTTTGCCAATTCCATACGTTTTTCTTTTAAATATAATAAGTGAGAGTATACATCCCAGTTGTCTAGGCGATATGGGTCATTTTGATACAGTTCACCAAATAATGCTAAAGAAGAATCTACATCTGAAAATTTGAAGGATGTTTAAGATAATAAGGTCATATATTTATAGGAAAACCACAGAATGTCAAATAGACTAAATAATAATATGGTATAAAAAATAAATATATTATATGATTTTAGAGACTATTGAAACAATACAAAGTACAAAACAAGATACAATAGATAGTGTGTTTAATCAAATTTAATAATAAATGAAGAGAAGCTTCAGAAGAAGGTGAAAATTGAGAGACATCTGGTACTGTGATGACCCAAGCATAGAAGTTAAGCCGATACTTCCAACAGAAGACACCCGTGTCCAACAGTGAACTTATACGGGCTGATGTAACAGAAGAAATATTTAACATAATACAATCCATTAAATAATTTAATTACATCTAGTAATCAATAAGAGAGAGTATATGCACTGGGGAACAGTATATAGATAATGGAAAGGCTACCTCTCCTGTCATGATGAGCAATTGCCATTTGTGCTGTAACATATGTACTTTTATCAAAACCAGCATTAGCTAACACCATATATGCTTCTAAAGCTTGCTCTGACAATTTCAATTCTACAAATGCATGAGCTGCAAAGAAGTACATCATCCAATGTTTAGGCAGCTGCAAAGAATCCAGTGCTTCATACTCATTTGCCAGGCCTGCAAGTTCTACCCAAGCAGCCCATAGAGTAGGAACAGCTGCTACAGAAGCTTGCAAAACTGAGACAGCTTGGCTTCGAAGATCCAATTTCTTAAGGACAACACCTTCTAAGTAGAGCAAATAGCCATCTAAATTGTTATGGTTAGCCTGAAAGACACATATTAGTTAAGCACATAGAAAGCAAACATGTCTAAACAGTTGTATACTTTCTTTCATTATAATTCACAGTTTAAGTACCTTAAAAAAAAGATAATAGATCTAGTAAGACTTGAGTTGACTCAGCATTGTCTGGCCCAATATCAGTAGCATTATCTAATCTTTTTTTCTCGCTGGACATGTACTGAGAATATCTGTATAAAAATACACATTTTGAACTAGTACAATTTTCAATAAAATGAGCTGCTCGATCATACTCCTGACAGTCAAAGTAACTTTTTGCTAATACATAAGATTCTCGTTCTTCAAGCAATATATCGTCATCGGAAGAGGTGCATGGTATGTGATTTATTTTATGATCTTTTAGTGCATAATTTAATTCTGCCAGCCACTTAACAGTTTGTGTCAGCCCACGATCATTACATTCGCGAATTCCATTAAGAATATCCAATCTTACTTGATTCAAATCTATTTGAATATCACTTTTAGGATTCAATAAAGGTTGCATTTTTATTGGATTTAAAAATAAAGATTATTTAAACTACATTCGTATGATTGTTTCATAAAAAGGCTAAAAAAACTAATGTTAATTAAATTAGATCACAGTTTACTTCATAAAGCTTAAAGAATATTAAAAACAGTACTTTTAAAATGTTTGGGATTTTAATTTTAACGTTTACTATTTTACCATAACCTCAAACTAAACTCAGTTGTCACTTGCTCACTTGTCATCTGTCCATCATCTGTCAGTGTGTCAAATTCTTTTTTAAGATTTTTGGCTTGGATGTTTGTTTTTCAAGCCATACCTTCATTTATCCGTCACAATATGAAGTAATAATAATAATTATTAATAGTGCACTGCTTCACGATCTCAGAAAAATTTTAGTTATTGTTCTGAGTTCACGATATATTGATGCGTCACATTGAGTTGTTTTTGATAGATTTTGACGGCAACTTGAGACAGCAGACAGTTGGCGATAGTATCTCAAGGCGCCCAAGCAGACAGACAACTTATTTTGAAATTCACATCACCATCGGAGCACTTGTTTTACCGTTTCCACTAATAGTTCACATGCGCAGGGATTTAATACCCAAAATTGGAAGTCGCACCTCGCAGATTGGTGCGACCTCGGACAAGTAACTTAATTTTTCTACAATTTTCGATATTTGAATACGTTTCGGTGCTCAATGAGCATCTGTCAGTTCAAATTGTCCAAATCCACTTCAAACCATTATTTAAAGAATAATACAAGAGCAGCCGGTCAAGTTCCCGCCAGAACTCCTTATTAGTCTTGTGTAGTTCGCGAACGATGAACAAATAGGAAACGTATCTTAGCACTGTACTAGAAGAAACGTCTATATTCGTTTCGTCCTTGGATGCTTTTTATTTTCGCATGTTATGGATATGGGATTTTATTTTACTTTAGACTTATAACTTGACCAAAAAATTATGTGTGTGTGTGTGTGTGCATACGAGTAATCAAACTACAGTACGACTTGAGCAAAAAGCGGCCGACTGAGATAGCCATTCCATATATATACAGTGGCGACGCTAGGGCAAGCCCAAGGTAATGTTTTGGTGTTTTAGCAGTTTTATAAAAATACACCAATCTTGATCTGTATCCACTCTTCAGTTTTCATATTCAGTACTGTCAAGGACGTATTTAACAAAGCACACAGAACGCACGCTTAGTAATAAATTGCCCGATTACGGTTTAGGTCCAAAACGAGTTAGGTATACAAAGAAATTTATTTTAAAGCCATCTATCTTTTCATTTTGGAATTTCTTAGATATCTTGTTCCTAGACCAACTTAAAACACTATATGACTCTTTCACTCTCACACGTTTTCACAATAATTATTACAATACAGTGGCGTAAACCACTATGCGTCGGTCACTGTCATAGTTAACGCGTGGAGTTTTTATTTTAAAGTGACCGAATCTTAATTGAATCTGTTTAGTGCAAAAATCTAAGGTAAGTTTGATTTAATTTTTTCATAAAACTATGACCCATTTTTAATTAGGTCTATTTAGTACAAAAAATATCAAATTATTCATGTTTCTTTTTAGTTTTAGATCTGTATTTTATAAAAATGGGACAAAATTATGGTGACTAACTATGAGTTAAGCCCGTTTTTTTTTATAAAATACCATAAGTAGTTTTAACAATCCGGACACTACAGCTAATGACCAATCAATTGAGGTAAAGGAAGCAAGTTGAACTGAAGAGATGGAAGTAGACCAAAGTAACATTGAAGAAGAAATGATGATTCGCAAGAAGAAAGGTAGTTAGCGCACAAGTAATCCTACAAATTGGAGACAAAACATAGAGTACTAAGAAATACTGGACATTCTTATGTATCTAAGGAAAAAAATCCACGTCGTGAAGTGAAGCAACCTTGCACATATCTTTGCAGACTTAAAAGGTCAGAAATGTTTACATCCGTTCAGACAAGCTCTTTTTGTAAATTGGGGACGTTGATAAGCAGCGATTGTTTATAGTCTTGTATATCCAACGTCACGTCTAGATATAAATACACAAACACCAAGCGTCCGAGGCAGAGCAATAAGGCTTATCACTTTATTATGGATGACTAACCAATCTTTCATAGGAACATTAAATATATCCGGTCGCTTTATTCGCACAGCAAAAAAAAGATAAGCTTGGCATTATCCAAAGTGATCAAAGAGGAAAACATAACAACCACCAAACTAATGATGAATCACTGATTTTAGACATAAAAACGTTTATAGATTCTATACCAAGAATTAAGTCGCACTACACAAGGCAAACTCCTACTCGCGAGTATATAGATGGGGAAAAAGCATCACAGATCTTTTCAAAGACTTTAAAGAATGTGAAGAAAGAAACAAACCCTGTGTAAGAATATATAATTTTTTACCGGCGTAAAGATCATGGATCAATGCGACCTGTGTCTGCAGTACGCTAATTCAAACAACGAACAGAAGAATCTAATTCGTGACGAATTTGAAGCTCATTAAGAAGAAAAATCACTAAGTAGTCAAGGAAAATATAATGACCGCTGCAAAATAAATGACAAAATAAGGGAAAAATATTAAATTTTCACTGTTGTCTTCTGTTTAACTTACAAATAAGTTTAAAAATGCTATATTATTTAGAATCTATATTATAATAGTTTATGTGGTTATACTAATTCAATACCAATTATTGCAGAGATAATTAGGTATTCATCTATTTATTGTTGTAAGGATATGAGGTAATAATGAATGTATTCATTATTACCTCATTTACCATATACATACATCACATACACTCAGTAACTACGACAATAAGTTACTAGACAATCGAGGTATCCGTTATAATAGCCGTAGGTATCCGTAAATAAGTCGTAGGTATCCGTAAATAATAGCCGTTCTTACAGAACGGCTATTATTGGAGGTTGCCAATTTTGTTTGGACCTGACCACTTTGACATGTTATTTTAGTTTAGAGATTTGTGTACAACCAAATTGGTACTATTCTAAATTGCTTAGAAAGTTAATATTTTAGATTTATTTTTCTCGTTTTAAATAAATACTTATTATTTACTCTGACTTTCATAGCGAGAATTATGAAATAACAACAAAATTCCTGTGGTTGAACCAACTCTTTGTGCCAGAGATTTAGTATAAACTGACGTTAGAATATATAGATCTTTACATTTTCCTAACTAATTATGTATGTGTGCAATTACCATAAGGAACAAATTAACTTTCCCGCCATTAAATCTGACAAATACTACACTTCATTTTGAAGAGGCGCCGCTTTGGTGGCAGAAAAAATCGTGGATGCCTTCATTGTCTCTGTTTGAGGATTCTCAACCATTTTGAACTCTAAGATTCTTTTCATGTTTGTTAAATTTGGTTTGGTTGAGAATTTAAAAGGTCTAAATTTTGAAGGAGTTCTTTTTATAAAGAATATGCGTGAGAAACGATCTCACATTCTACCTGATGGTAAGTGGATGCTGTGGCCCATAGGCATCTACATTTAACCTCAATTAAGAATCAAAGTGCAGATGCATTGTCACCCCTGAGTACTAAGATGGAATGGCTCGATTCCAGTAAAGCATGTCTACGGATCTCTACACTCATCATACGACACATAGCAGCATTAAGCTGCTATTTTACGCTGGCATTTTGTGAGAGCGTGGTCCTTCTCCGGTCGAGCCGTTCGTGCTATAACCATTATTTAGCTGCAGCGTGGCTCTACCACGTATAGCAACATTCCCAAGCATTGTCACCAAGTTTACTGTCCAAATGTTGAAAAGGCAATTCAGTATGAAGAATGTTTCGTCAATGACCATTCGCGACTTTTTCTGTCTCCAGGGCGGAGCCACTTCAAAATGTGAATATATTTGACAGATTTCATAGGGGGAAAGTTAATTTGTTCAGGATATTCAAAGACTGTTACTTTTTGTACTATTACACTAATGTTAAAGACTCGTTGCCCGCGGTGCAATAAAATGGGGAAACAGAACACCACCTGCTGCGCTCTCTTTCGCACTTACGATCTTTACGGCAGGCATAGTGGCACACCACTGTCGTGTCGATTTGTATATTAGGGCAACGTAAAGAATGCAAAATGAAAAGAAAAATATTCAATAATTACATTTATTATTGATCATAAATCAATTATTAGTACTCTTCATTATCAATAGTTTTCTTTAATTTCTGTTAAAAACGTTAGCACATTGTTAATAAGAATGCGCACTTGAGGTTGAATACTTTTATTCTAAACATCAAATTTAATAATACGAAATAATCAATATTCAAACTCCATTTTAAATCAATAATCAGCAGCGTCCAAATGTCTATAGAAGCATATTAAAACCGGTATTTATACCCTCTAAACTTAACTAATGAATATTAAATTTGTAATCTCAAGTAAAAAAATTGACAGTTTATAACTTTATTTATAAAAATCAAAAATTTTTTACGTCGCGAGAAAGTAGAAAATACGTTTTTCTTGTAAGATATTGATTTGAGAACATTGAAACTACTGCGAATCGTTTGCAAGTTAATTACCGATTTTGTAAATATTTTCTTTATTGCGTTTTTCGCTATAGATACTGATTAATAAATTAGTTATTTTTTCAATTACTACAAATTATTCGCGAACATCGTGCAGCTTAGAATAATTTGTATAAATCGTATCGGGAAAAAAAAATAAGATAATAGCGTAATCGTTAGAAATATTTGTAATCTTAAGTAAAAAACTTGTCAGTTTATAACTTTATTTATAAAAAATCAAAAATTTTTTACGCCGCGAGAAAGTAGAAAAATACGTTTTTCTTGTAAAGATATTGATCTAAGAACATTGAAACCAATACAAATCGTTTGCAAATTAATTATCGATTCTGTAAATATTGCCTTTTCGCTATAGATATATTTATATAGCTTATTCGATAGCTTATTCGCTATAGATATTGAGTATTAAATTATTTTTTTAATTAATACAAATTATTCGCAACATCTTGCAGCTTAGAA